CAACGGGGAAGCGAACGATTATGTTGAACCACCCACAGAATCTTCCTATTGAGAAACAAAGAAAAGTAAGCAATGGAAGTTTGGAGCGAACCCTGTAGTACAATCTTAACAAACCTTAGTTACCAAAGCAAGCAGAGATGCCACCTCCAGGGGCAGAAAGAGTGACGAACCGCAGGCTTTTCGACATTTCGTCTAGCTCCTCATCTTCATCTAAAAGCACTGCATAAAAGAATTCTTTGGAAAGCCATTAATCTTAGTGCACGCTGGAAACAAGCTGGTGACAAGGAATATCAAGTGTCCAACATCTCAGCGCCGGAATACTGCCCGATTGAGGGAAATAATAATAAGAAAAGGGCAAAAATCAGGAAAGGGAAAGAGTCATTTAAACGTAGGAGGACGTAAATTTGAAAGTAGTATGCAAACATTACAAGCTGACCCCAGTTCCATCATATCCGCAGTAATTTTTAAAGACTTGTGCTCCCCAAATAATCAAAATGTATCCGTGATCAAAACAAACTTTCTAGACAGAAACCCGTCATATTTTTATTTCGTGTTGGATTACCTTAGCTACGGACTACAACCCAAAGCTACTTTCTACAGACAAATGCATTCGCATCTGAGGCAGCTTCACATTGAAGCTTCGTATTAGGGACTGGCTGGATTGGGCGAAGGGGAAAGATGTCCCCTTTGGCTTGTCGGATGATTAGCAGTTACTTCCCCAATTCTAAATTAACACATAATCAATTTAATATGTGTGCATACATTGTTGCTATGAACCTGTTGCTAGTGTAATGAATTTTTTTCTCATTCCACAACAACACATGTACATCATAAATGTAAATATGTTTAAAATATTTATTATTGTTGCCCATTACATTTGAAATAAGAGGCCAAAAATTTGTGTGAATTATTTCTATAAATTCACACGTCTTGAAATATTATGAAGTCGTACATTTTGATAGTATGGGATTGTTGAATCTTGTTGAATCGATAGTAATATCATTGTAAAGACTGTACATACTGATTTTATTACAATTATTTGATTCGATATTTATGCATAAATGAAATTGTTGAAGTCACCTATGACTTTTTGTACGTTTCAAGATGTTGAAAGTTCTTCAGAGTAGAAGGATCCTATAAAGAATACGGATCAGTGATTATATTTACACACTGGTAATTCATTGAACGTTTGAGTGACGCTTATTGGAATTTTAACTGCGCAGCTGTTGTTTTCACAATAATTTCACTTACTGACAGCTGGAATATCTGGATTTTGAACAATGTAGGCTGTCAGTAGAAACTACAATATATATATGATTGGAATTTTTTGTCGGTAGTGGTATAAATTCAATTCCCCGCGCTTGCGCGGGATTTCATCTAGTGTACCAAGAGTATTATAAGTCTGAATTTTGCAGTTTTAGAACAACCTAATTAAATAATAAATACGATACCCAGAGGAAGGAATAATTTATATCGTAAGTGATATAAAATGATATTGTAAAAGTAATGGTATGAAAAGAAAAGTTATAGTAAATTGCTTAACCGAAAACCAGGAAGGGTTGTATATGTGCACATATATTACAGTACAAAGCATGGCCGTAGGAACCGGGGGGGGGGGGGGGGCACTGGGGGGAAATAATTTTTCCGATATATAAATTACTATAGAAAACATAGAGCTATGTGCTTGTGCCCTCTCAATAATAACGTTTTTTTTTTGTTTTTTTTTTTTTTTTTTTGCTTGTCAAGGAATTTTTGAAGTTGATAGTGCCCCCTCAACTAGAAAATGTATGGTAGTGCCCCCTCAAAGTGAAATTGCTTCCTACGGGCCTGCAAAGGAAACGTACATATCAAACTATGTCTGCCAGTCAATGCATGGGGGATATTTCTACATTTTGAGGATGAAATCAATCCTCAACACTTAAAACGGTGACATTTAATTAAATGCATTTTCCTCTTATTTATTATTATTATCATTTTTTGTTTATTGTGTATCTAAATCTCGTGTTGTCGCAATGTATATGCACGCTAGTAAGTTGTGAAATGCATTAAAATTTATACAAACGTCCGGGCGATCGGACATATATGACAAAAAATATGAAATATACATGTATCAAGTACAATTTTTGTATATATCAAAAGTTGTCTATGTTTAAGCTAAATGCAAGTATTTTACATTTTGCGTATGAAAATTTGATAAAGAAAAATTAACAAATTTTTAAGATTTAGGGCAATATACTGGCTTGCGACTGATATAAAAAGAATATTGCCGGTTACCCTTCCCCCACATCAGTAATGGGGTGTTTCTTCTTTACCCTTTTCGTATGAAGTGATCAAATTCATGTGTTATGCCTGATCGAAATCTTAATGAACATGAATATCCTGAAAATACATGAATTAATATATTATCATTCGCGGTGTTGTCGCTGCATGTTGATTTAAAGCTGAACATGATTCGTAAACGGCATTTGTCCGCCATATTCGATTGGGGTCTCGCTATATTTGAGGGCCCCTACATAAAGCCGCTCACTTAGTCACTGTTCAGTGTAATCAGTCGTCACCGGTGTAGACAGACGTATGCTACACAGCACTGGGTAGCGACAAAATATAACTGTGTACTTCTTCTAATGCAAGAGAGTAAGATATACCAAAGAAACATACAGCAGTTGCACAGGTCAGTGCAGTATACAAACACACAACTACACAAATGCAATGAAATGTAAACAAAGGTAAAATAAGACAACCAGCACGAACACGTGTCGCCATTCCACGCCGATACCCGTGACAATAAAGCTAACAGGTGTAACGAATGCGAAGGGTATACCCTGGTGCTGATATCGTAGATAGTTGTATCAAAAATGGCGTATGCCTATTTACAAGTCGTGTTCAGCTTTAATAATGTTTAATTTAGGAATGTTTATATCGTTATACCCTTCATTCTGACTTCGTGGCCTGAATATGGATTTCACAATACTAGTGAAGATAAATTGCTGGCCGTCCTAACATGTTTCTGCAATAAGTGAAATGATGAATAACATCATATTTTGCATCTATTTTTCCTTTTAGATCTTGCATATGCCAAATATAAAGATATTTATATGTTACCGCGAATACGTTCAACATAATTATTTCAATAGTAAAGCTAAAAATTAGTACTAAAAACTATACAGAGTTTACACTAATAACTAAAAACTACGTAGACAAATTTGATAAAAATTACAGATAACATGCTGCAAATTCTAGGGAACATTTTATCAAATTTTCAGGTTGTATTTTTTCGTAAGAATTTTTATGCAGTAAACCTGCGACCTACCTTACATAGAACCAATCCCAATCTTATGACGCATTTTTTTTTTTTTTTTTTTTTTTTTTTTGCTGTTTGAGGGAAATGACATACACAAGTTTAGTAGTTCCAAGAATAGCTGGAGGCGTTAACTATACTGCTTCTTCATTGACTTAATATCAAGGCAATGCAATTTAGATTCGCATATAAAATACTTAAGCATGTGTTTTAGTTTATGTTTGAAATCTCAGGGCAAAATACAATTAAGAAACTAGAAAACTGACCAGTCAGCAAGGGCCCCGCCAAGGTTTAAAAATATAAGGATGCAGCTTACAGAGTGAGAATTTTACTTGATAACAAAAACTAAAAAGTATATGAAGTAGAATATGCAACAACAATTTTTATAAAATTTCAAGATAATTCTTAAATATCCAATAACCTGTAAATAGTATCCTTGTATTTACATAAGGCAATTAAATGTATATTCAAACAAGAATAAAGCACGTGTATTATAAGATGCAAGCCTTTGGTGAATGCAATTATCATCCAGGCTTGACTTTGACTTCAAAACAAACATCAGTAACAGACAAAGGTGTTAACCTACCGTATCTTAAAGTGACAGATAAAGATAAGCCTCTAAAATTTTCTGCACCAAGCAAAATAATTAATCCCTGGGTTTTATTTGTACTGCTCTCTCTCATCCTTTTCTTCTAAGTTTACAAAAAGAACTTTTCAGTAATGATACAATGAGGTTATTATCGGACTGCCTGTTAAAATTAATAGTATTCTTGAATTTACATAAGACAGCAAAATAAATTAATAATAATAATAAAAATATGTTTAAGCATATCTTGTTTTTAGAATTTAATAAAATCATAATTCATTGTGCATTTTACCAAAATAAAGTATGAATATTATCTAAATCCACATTTCAGAGAATGTAAACATCATTCACAACTGACCTTCAAAACAAACTTCATTTGCAGACAGGGGCGTTAATTAATCACAATTTGACAGAAACAGATAATGCTTTGGATTTTCTTCAAGAGGAAAGTTAATTAATCCCACAGCACTCATTGCAGCTTTCATACTTCACAATAGGAACATTCTCAGCAGTTATCTCTCTATGCCCAATGGCATTCATTCTTATGTAAAGTTTAGGAATCTACCCCTCCACCCCAGCTCCACACTGGATGACATAGAGAACCAAACTTAACATCAAAATATGTCTTTCTGCCAATTCAACCAACATCCCAATTTGAACTTAACTGGTCAACTATAAAATAGGTTATTAGGAAAAAAACCCAGAAAATTTGTGAACGGGAGAATGACAGGGGGACAGAGTGATTACTATAGGGCACCCACAAATCCTTGCGGAGCCCTAAAAAATAATTCCCTTCAATTTTTTTCAGAGGTACATGCAAGAACCATCAGTTTTCAATTATGAAATTTAGATGTTATCAAACAGGAATAGCTCATTCATCCATGAATGCAAAAAGCCCACACCCATTTGATTCTTTATTCCATCACCTGGGAAACATATGTTTTTGTTTTTATTGATACAATTTTTATTAATACAGTTTTAGAAAACGAATCACGTATGTATTAGACAGCTAATTCTAATCTTATTGAAGAAATGTACATTTCAAGAAAACAACAACAACAAAAAAAACAAAACAAAACAAAAACAAACAGAAATAGTTGTCAATGCTGAATATTGTTTAAAATAAGACTTTTCTTGTTACTTGGTGAACTTCCCCTCTTGAAAGCAAATTAATCTATAAAGAAATCGTCTGATCATATAATATTTTCCATATGGATTTTGTTTTCCACTTCATTTCAATGCAATGTTCTTTCATCAGTCTTAGAAAAATATTAGTTCGTTGGTTAGTGTTTCATTATCAGCAACGACATCCTATTATGTTATTATTATTTTTTTTAATTCATTCAATTCCGAATTTTGTATTTGATCCAACATTTTAAACAACAAGGAATAACAGAAAGAAGAACATAGTATTTCAAATGTTATTTCTTTCAGCAGTTCTCATTACAGTTTTTGACTGTGCATAAACGACCCTCGTCGCCATGATTTTTTGAAATTTCATCAAGTTCTGCTTTTCCTCTTTCTTCTTACTTTCGGTTGTTTCCCTGTTCACAGCTGTGAAAAATAAAAAAAATTAAAGAAAAAAGTGTTCAAGAATATTCAGCATAGCCTGGACATCAATTTCAACAATAAAATGCTTTCTCTGTTTATCAATGCTGGGATAACGACTCGGAAAATCCAGAAACCAAGTTATGTTTATTTTTTCTGAAATGATAGCGACCTTCGTGTATATCCAAGCAGTAATAAACAAAGATTTTTCTGTTGTTTGTATCAAAACTTCATGTATTATTCGTATAGAGTGAATGAAAGCACAAAGAATGTTATATTCATTTTTATATTATACGTTCAATTTAAAAAAAAAACGTATTTCCTAAGATGTTTAAAAACAGATAGCTTACAAAATTTTTCTAACTTAGGAAGCCATATTATCGATAACTGATTGATAACGGATACGTTTTAATAGAAATGAAGGAGAAAATATTCCCAACATTTTTGTCTTAAAAAGCTTTTAAGCAAGGATTTACTGATTGTTTTCCCCAAGAGTGTGAGGCTTATTTTTCTTCATCACTAAATTGTTCCATGTATAGATCTCTAACAAATAAGTAATGCATGCAATCCTACTTAATGAAACCAATTTCAAAAACAAGTATATTCAATTGATTGCAAAATATAGATTAAGTGCACATTGATTAATGATTGAGAAAGGAAGATTTACTAATATTCCTAAAGAATAAATTATGTACTTTTTGTCAATTGGAGTTAAAGATGAGTACCATTAATATTTTATTTTGAAATGTTCACTTTATCATGAGTACAGGGAATTGTATATCAAGAAGTATTATTGGTATAGACCAATTATATATAAACCTTTACAACCATTATCAACTGAAAATGTAAGTGAACTAAGTAAAATAGGGAAATTCCCCCAGAAAGCAGAAGCACTTAAAAGAATCACGTCTGTAAACTGAAGGTTTTTTTGTAGTTGGAAATATTATTCACAAACAATATGTAAAAACAAGTTATGTAAATATTTTGCGAATATACCGTCTGTGTTATATATCCTTTATAGTGATATTGCCTAATAAATATGTAATCTGATCAGGGTTAGCCGGGAAATACAAGTGTTTGGAATTACCAGTGGTTAGTACCCCGGTATTGCCCGTCCCGGTAAATACTACAAATTTTCTTTTCATTGGGAAATACAAAGTTTTTTTTATTTCTTTAATCGATTCAAACTTATACAAAATTCAGACTGACTCCTATTTCACAAATTCAGAGTGTATCACTACTTCGGGTCCACTACCTATACACAGAACATAACTCAAACTGGATCTTTGGGTTCATTTCATTGACTCTTTTAAAATGCATCTGATTCAATCATGAAGCAATCAAATGACACTCATCATATTTGAATATACTGTTATGTGATTATCTAAAATTCAAGAAACCAGAAATTTTAATTCACGGACATTGATACCGGGTAGATATCTTAGCCAATAAGGTGTCTTACATGATTAAAATTATGAAATATGTAGCTATATATGCCGCTATTATTTATTTCCCAGTATTTCCAAAGAAGTATACTAGTAATTCCCACGAAATACCAGTATTTCCCACTGTCCTGGGAATTATGAGTATTTTCCTTGTTTTCTGCCAACCCTGAATGCGATAATTTAGCCATATGACTTATGGAAAAAATAGACAAACAAACAAACAAATATACAGCTTGTTACCACCCCCCCCCCCCCTCCCCCCGAATGTTTGTTAGTAGTTTGAATACTTACGGTTATTTGTCACTCTGTTCATGCATTTTTGAAACAGGCGATTGATGATATAACGTACAAAGCAAATTAAGTTTATCAAGGAAGGTTTTCGATTCTTGAAGTCGTTTATGACCACATAGCGCTCATACATCCAGAGTTTTTCGGAATTAGATTTGACTCTCCCGAAGGTGTAGCTAAAGAAAAAATATAGAAAAAAGTTGTGACATGGTTGCGTATGATCTAAAGCGCTGGGCAAGGTAAAATTAATTTTCATTGAATGAACCAAATTATGGTAAGATTAAACTAGGATAGTACTAGATGAAATCCCGCGCAAGCGCGGGGAATTGAATTTATAACCACTACCGACAGAGAATATATTGTAGCTTCTACTGACAGCATACAGGCTTACAGCAGGAAGAAATACTTTGTTCAAAATCCCGCATGAAGTAGATGTACGTCTCCAACCCCAACCCCCCTTTTTATAAAAATTTGAAAAATAACAATTTCATTAATTGACGTTTATTATGAAACCTGTTATACTATGTTATGGATATTGTACTTCAGGTGCTCTTATTTCATTTCTGTCAAGGATAAAAGCAGGAAATATGGACATTTTACCGATAATTTTTTTTTTTTGGGGGGGGGGGGGGTACTTGGGTCTTGGTTTATAAATACCTTATTGATATGTAAAAAAAATGTACTTTTTTTTTTTTACATATCAATAAGGTACATACATATTTATAAACCAAGACCCAAGTACCTGTGTGAAAATTAGCTTTTAATGCTCCATGAATAGGTCGAGTATTTGATATAGAAGACTGTATTCAGAAAGTCGCTCCGCCCTGATATATAAGGAATTAGAGCTCAAAATAGCTATTTAACGACAATTGCAAGAATTTGCAACAAATGTCCGTATTCTTGTGTTTAAATAAATTAGTAGTGATTTTCTCTTGTTTAGAACATCATATTGTTGAAATTGTTGAAATAATTCGCTTTTTTGTGTCGTTTGGCTGCACTCGGCTTCAGCCAAGCGCTTGCACTCAGTGACACGGAATGTTGTTTACATAACGGACGTGGCGACAGCAGCTGAGATTTGCGATGGAAAATACAACCAACAGGTAAATCTTTTAAAGGGATCAGTAATAAAGTAACAGATTTATGGTTTGTTTATCGATATTTAGAGAAATCATTGAGTGCTGGGGCTACTGCACCCCACCTCTCTACCCTGGGCAGCTGCAGGGTTTTTCATATTAGATTCGTATATTATGTACGCATAGGTATCAAGATTTCGACATACTGTTGTTAACATCAAAATGAAATAATCGAGTGTGAATGTATACATGTAGCAAGATGTATTGGCAGTGCCCAGGAGCTGTGTCTGTGCCCCCCCCCCCCCCCCCTTACACACACAAACATGGTATGAAGTTGCACACCAACAGTTTAATTTGCACTGAATATGCAATTCCTTGTCGTTCAACTAATTTTTGAGGGAATGCATGTATAATGGAGATCTGCAGTCATGCAAGTTTGCTGTTAAATTTATTTAAATTAATTATTGTTCTATTTCAATCATTGATAAAAGATTCACTGAACATGTACATGTAATTATGTTGACATACAATCATCTTAATATGTAATTTGAAAAGGAAAGCAGGATATCAAATGATAATTTAGCACATCCATAAAGTGTATATTTCTGTAAAGTGAAACTGTATTGTATATGTAACATACATGCATGTATGTATTTTATACCCCAGTCCTGTAAATCATAAATATAGGATAAAAGTTTCAATTTTCACCAGCTAGTGTTTCATATTTTAAAATTATTCTTAGCATCTGTATTACTAACCTCTAAATCTGTAGAATGATATTTCTAAATTTAAAATTGAATATCATGTTATTTTATTTTTCTAGTCTGAATACATGATGTACAATTCTTTCATCATTGTAGCTATCAGGTGCTGCATGCATATAACCCAGTGTTGCAGAAAAACAGAAAACATATGCAGAAACTTCTAAACATGGTTCACTATTAAAATATTTCACAATAATTTTATTGTATGCCAGTATAATAGTTTTTGTTTCAATTTTGAACAGATGCAAGAATTTCATTAATGAATTTGTTTCCTTTAATCAGTTATTTTCAAAGCTTAAATTGCTATTGCAAATGTCAGAGTTTTAAAATTCCCAGAAAAGTTTTGTTACAAAAGATTTAATGAATTTTAGAAAATATTATATTACTTGGTTTGTTTTGCATATTGCAATGCCATTCATTTAAAATATTATGTATTTGACTCATTATATTTTTGGTATATTTTATGTTACAGTAGCTGTTCACAAACAATTTGAACCATTCCAGTGTTGACACAGGGAGCATGTGTATGGACCAAGTAAAAAGGTATGCTTAATGATACCAACAACACACATATTCATGGCACTATTATTTTACAAGAGGCCCAAGGGCCTTAACGGTCACCTGAGTATAATACAACAATTTAGAGGATCCATAAAGTATAAATTGAAGTGAAAGGTGAAGCTTTGTTGCCCAAAAGCAAGAAAAATAGGGTGATCAGGATCAACAAAATAATTAGTCTAGTATTCATTAACAGTTCATAAATTAGGTTCTTATCTGTTTCCCATTTATCACTCTCACCAGACAGTACCATATATACTCGCTTATAAGTCGACGTCGGTTTCGTGGGAGTTAAACTTTGGTCCAAAACTCTTTATCCGACTTATACGCGAGATATAAAAAGAATGGTATTTTAGTGGGTCAATCCCTCTAATTTAAGCTTAAAAAATACAACCGACTTATAGGCGAGTATATACGGTATATTAACAAACTATCAGTGCTTCTGTACTCTTTTAATTCCTTGTGGAAATCTCTTACATTGGCCTGAGTAAGACTCTTGGTCTTTGATGAACATTTAAGGTACTGGTATTCCATTCCTAATAGCCTCAGTTTCAACGAATTTGAATACATAACAGCGCAGCTATGTTAAGGCTTCCCGAAGCTTTTAAACGCGCTCAAAACATAATATGTCATTGCGAGGTCGGTTTTGATTTTAATTTATAAGTATTGAACTTAAGTACTTCCAATTTATATAAAGGGTTTCCTCGGCTATATATTAACATATTTGTTATGGTATCACATGACTTTGTTGATCACGTGAAGGTCATTTATAATTTTTTGAAGTGTTCCATATAAATCGCTTCGGCGCAGGTGATTAACACAATAATTATTAACATTTTGTTATATAAATAACCTCATCGTATTCTTGTGTATCCGAAATGTGCTTGGGAAAAGTCATAGTATTACTTAGATACAAAATATTTCCTGAGAAATTCAACTTACCTACAAATTTGAGGGTATTTTCCACACAATATCGTAATCTGTATTAAAACAAAGCCAACACATATTTTTCCCAAGCAAGATTCAGTTAGAGAACAACCTCTTCTTACAGATTTCGACAAAAATTCTCAGATTAATCCTCATTAATCACCTGCGCCAGACTCTTTTATACACACAAAATAAATTCTACCTCCAACCACGGGTATAAAACAGAGTACATTTCAAAAGTATATTTTTCAAAAGCATTTTAAGCATGCTGAATTTCAATCAAGGGTACGTAAGCGGTGAATTTTTTAAATATTCGGACATATAAGACTTAAAAAACCTTTAACGACCCGTGAATTTTGCAATAGTTATCTAGCATTTTACATGCAGTTTGAAATAAAGTGTAAAGTTCATGACACTCTCCCCGTCATAACACCTCAAGTTTGCAGTGACTTGACGTCATTTTCCATTATGACGGTAGTTCAGAGATGTGAAGGCACAGAGTGCACTGTGATATTCTACGGGAAGCCTTAACCTACCTGCGAGATGTGTACGGGTGAAATACTCAGTATATTTAGACATAATTTCCATTTATTACTATTAGCACTTAAGAATGGAACATGTCCTAATTTATGACTTGACCTTTGTTGAAGAGTTATCTCCCTCTTTTTAAAAAATATTATGTATTTAAAAATAATATACGGTAAAAAAATTGTTTTTAATTGTCATTCTATATTTGATGCATCTTTCCATCACAGTATTTATTGATATTCTTATTATTTGAATTTTTATTTAAAAAAATCACTTGTCTCCATAGACTTCAATGCAATTTCTATTAATTAAATACTGCTTAGTTAATTACATTTTTGAAACTTTCACTTGGTAAATCCTTTTCTACTGTAAAGTTCTTTGAATTAATATCAGAGTATAATATACGTGATTGATATTTAAGGATAGAGAATTAGGTCCTATTAGGGATGGAAAACCTTAATAAGACAAGTCTACCTGATCATTAAAACTATGAAAGTACTTTTTGTATTATACAATAAAAGTTCTAACATAATTCTCTTATTCTATTAACCTTTCAAGTACATTATTTACAGTGATTAATTATCACAAGTAAATGGCAAAGGGGAGTAACTCCTCTCAGTAGAATACAAATTAATAGAGCCCTGGCCTGGACATCAGAACCTCTGATCCAGGGGTCATGAAATTCACAATTTTGGAAAAGGCATCCTTGCTTATCATAACCATGTATTTGTTTAAATAATACCCAGGAGAAGAGAAGAAGATTTTCAAAGAAATAATGCACTTTCACTGTATGATCTATATAGCCCCGCCCTAGCACCAGAACCCCTGACCCAGGGGCCATGAATTTCACAATTTTGGTAGAGTCACTCTTGCTTATCATAACTATGTATTCAATTTGTTTCAATAATACCCAGGAATAGAGAATAAGATTTTTCAAAGAATTAATGCATTTTCATTATATAATCAATAGAGCCTCGCCCTAGCACCAGAACCCCTGACCATGGGGCTATGAATTTCACAATTTTTGTAGAGTCACTCTTGCTTATTATAACTATGTATTCAATTTGTTTCAATAATACCCAGGAGTAGAGAAGACGATTTTCAAAGAAATAATGCACTTTCACTAAATGATCTATATAGCCCCGCCCTAGCACCAGAACCCTTGACCATGGGGGTATGAATTTCACAATTTTGGTAGAGTCACTCTTGCTTATCATAACTATGTATTCAATTTGTTTCAATAATACCCAAGAGTAGAGAAGAAGATTTTCAAAGAAATAATGCCATTTCACTATATGATCTATATAGCCCCGCCCTAGCACCAGA